TTTAGATATCATGTTCATGAAAAATTACAAAATTTCATGGTACCAATTCCAAGTAGTACTTGGCATGAAGACATGATCGATGAATTATACGCTTCTTTATTGGGTAAAAAATATGAAGAAGGTTCAGAATTAAGTGAAAATGAAATCAGATCAGAAACAGAACAAAAAGGAGAAAATAATATAATCGAAGCTAGTTTGAATGGTTTGAGAATATTTGGATAAAACGATTGTTTGATAAATTACGGATCGCATCAGAATTTTCAAGGAATATTTAATATATTTATAATCAATTCTAGTAAATTAGTATTTGATTCGTTCATTATCCCAATGCCAAAAAAAAATTTTTTTTCTGATGCAATTTGTTATACTACATTTTAATTAATACAATTACAACCTATTAATCTGTTTTATAGTTGACTTTTAATTTATTTTAATTTTGAGAGGTTTGAGCTTATATAACTTTCATAGAACAACTTTTTGCAATCATCATATAATATACTGGATTATAAAACAACATATAAAAGTTTATGGTTTCAAGAAATTTTTCGTTATTCCAAAATTTTAGTTATTTTTATTTATACCATATTTTTATTAAATAATATAATATATAATATAAGCGTCAAATAATAAATATATAATTATTTTGGTTCCAAGAAAAGAAGATATCAAAACTAATATATGTAACTTCAGATTAAAGCTCTGCATAAGCTGAGCCACTTGTAAGCCAAACGAGCTGGCTCGTTTATGCTCAGCTCGAGCTACTATAAATCAAGCTGCGAGTCAGACAAGCTGGCTTATGCCATAGTTTAGCTCGTGCTGCAGCTCAGCTCATTGGCTTGTATTTTCTTCTTTGAAGAAAATAAATCCAAAGGTGGTTTTTCTTTGAAGAAAGCTACTCCAATGGTGTTTACTTAAAGAAAAACAGCCCTGGTAACGTTTTCTTTGAAGAAAAATAGCACCAGTGATGTTTTCTTTGAAGAAAAATAGTCCCAGTAATATTTTCTTAAAGGAATTCGCTTCAGAAGCGAATTCTTTTAAAGAAAATGTTCCAGAAGCGAAAGCCTTCAAGAAAATCGCTCTGGAAGCAAATTCTTTTAAAGTAAATGCTCTGAAAGCGAATTCCTTAATGAAAAATGCTCTGAAAACGTTCCTCTCAAAGGGAATCGTTCTGAGAATGCATCTATTAATGAGAAACGTTTCTCTTGACGGTTTTTTGTTTCTAAATATAAGCTGAACAAGCCAGTTTGCAAGCCAGATTGGCTTGGCTTAGCTTGTCAATTGATCTCCACGAGCTGAGCTAAGTTGAGTCAAAAAAAAAGTGGCTCAGCTCGAGCCAGTGGCAATTCAAGCCAAGCTAGCTTATGCAAAACTTTACTTCAGATTAAAGATGGTCCCCATAATTATTTTCAAATTTCAATTGAGTTGCAACTTAATTGCGCCATAAGGAAATTTAATTGCGCCACAAGTTGCAACTCAATTGCGCCATTTTTTTTAATTGCGGTGACCATCTTTACTTCAGATAAACAAATTTTACCATTGCTTGACTAATCAGAAATCTGATTTGCGTTCACAGCTCTTCACATAAGAACACAGAAAATATTTGCTTAATTTTGAATCTTGATGCCAATGTAATAACAAAACGTTTGATCTTTTGTCTTCTTGATGTATTATAACGTTCTAAATTTTTAATAATTGTATCAATGTAGTTAATTTCTTTTTCCTAATAACTATCACAATAAGTAATAATCTCACTGATCTTTAAAAGATAATTTCCCATTTCAGATAAATATTGTGATAGCTCTTTTCTAAATTCCTTTAAAAAGTAATTTAAAAAGCTATTGTAAATTGAAGATATTATAGCATCACTATTATGACTTGTGACAATGACTGAACTGTAATATCAAAGATTAGTGCTTGTTAATATAGATGTATGAATATCTAATTATAAACAATTTTAATAAATAAATAAATATTCTTAAAAATTATCTGCCAAAATATGTTACTACATCAAGACCAACAATAGCTTCTATTACCAAAGATACTCTACCTATAAATAGAGCTGCTGCCAACACAACTATAGCATTAACTCTGAAAATTCTTTTCAAAATTTCACGTAATTCATCTTTACTTTTCGTAATTGTATCATTATATGCAATAATTTTAGGAGATATTGTTTCTAAACAATTTTTAATTTTGATGAAGTAATTCAGAATAACTCTTATTTAACCTAGTATTATTTAAAATTAGATATAATAATTCCAACAGTTTCTCATTACTGATACCATCAACTTCATAGCAGTCAGCAAATAGAAGAATGTCATTAGAATGAGAATCAATTTTAAAACTATTAGTTATTGATTTTTTGGCAAAATCTAGAAATTTATTTTTTTGCTCAGAAATTATATTAAGTTTTACTTAAATAAATTCATTTTTTTCAACTCTAAGTCATTGAAATTTAGATAATAGAGAGCCATTTTTTGATCAGTTTTTATGATCAATATATTATTAAATAATCATATAAAATTTTGCATAAAAAATAACTTATCGATAAAAAATATTAAATTAGTAATTATTTAAGGTGATTAAAATAACTATAAGTAAAGATACAAAAAAATATGATAAATTAGGTATGATATAAAAATATTGTAAAAAAGTGAAGAAACCTATAATGAAAAAATAGAATTAATATAATAAAGAATTATATTATAATCTTAAAAAGTTATATGTTATATCTTTCATTAGCTAACCAATAAGAAATTCACGAAAAAGATCTATAAAGAAAATAAATATTGGTTTAGAAATCTAAATACAGTTAATTTTTTCTATAATCATACTCTTTAAAATCATCTAATAGTATGATTATATAAAGTATATTTATATAAAAAATTTAAGTTTTCCTTTAAACATTCTAAATTTCTAATATTTCTTTTTAAATAAAAGATTTGATCATCTTTAATTTTATGTGAAAATTTAAATTATTTAATAAAATTTTTTTTAAAATTAAGTAATTTTACATGATTTATTATAATAATTTAATGTTATTGATTAATTTATCACATAATTATATGATCATATAAAGGAAAAATACTTATATTAATAAATAAATTAGTTTAATAATTAGTGTAATAGTTAAAGATGGCGTCTCAATTAGTTGCAATAGGTGACAAATAAGCATTACAATGTTGTAACGAATTGCAATATTATTAAAATTTAAATTGCAATAGGTAACAAATAAGTGTCACAATGTTGTAACGCTATCTTTAGTAATAGTGATTATAATTAATATGTAATTATAAAAAAATATTTTATATTAAGAAAAAAATTCTAAGTCAAAAGAAATATCCATAAATACTTCTCTCATAAAAGATCATTTCACTATTACTTTTATTATCTTTTAACTAATATAAGATAAGTTAATTATTTGTATTAAAATTTCTTAGATATAATAAACTTAAAAAAACTAATTTATATTAATTGTATATCATTTTTTATTCTAACTTATTTAGATTAAGTAAATATTTAACAAAGATATTAAAAGATAATTTAGGTTTGTTAAAGTTTATAAATCCTTTTAAAATTTAAAAATTTAGTCATAAATATACTTTATTTTTTTGAGTTTTAGCAGGAAAAATACCTAAGATTTGAATTACAAAATTATTAAGATTTACAAAAAAAATTAAAAAGATTATATACTAAGCTTGATAATATTCTAATAAAAATAATCTAAAAAGCATTTTGAATAATGATTACTTACACTTACAAAATCTTATTATACTTTTTAATAATATTTATAGATTATTTAGAAATTAACTAACTAAATTATGATACTATATCTATTTATTAATATAATAAAATTATCTTAAAATTTAATGTTTTTATCTACCATTAAAACTTTAAATTTAAATTAAATAATTAGATATATTTAAGAATTAATAAGTTTTTTAAATCATTTATTTATACTAATAAAATCATATTTAGTTAAAGAGTAGGTTTATTTTATATAACTAATAATATCTATATAATTAAATATAAATTTGTAAATTCATTTTTTCAATTCAAAAATAAAAAATATAACATAAATCAGTTTAATACCTTCTTAAAATAATAATATTATTAAAAAATATGTAAGAAATATATTATAATATTGACTTATAAATTTGATATACATATCAGTGTTGGTATATGACATCATATGACCTATATGACTTACATGACTTGTCATTTGTCATTTATCATTTGTCAAAGG